CACCGTGTTTGCCTCCCATTTGAGGGCAAAATCTCTTCATGTACCGCCTAGCCACACTGATAAGAAGTGAGCGGTTGCCTTCTCTGGTGACTTTGGCTCTAAGAACGAACCGAAGACTGTGTAGATCGCTGCCCTCCTCCCCTCTACGGGCAAGCTGGAGACTTGTGGCCCAACTGACCACATTTAAAACAACTAAAATCTCCCTGACCATATCTCGTAGAACCCGAACTCGGTACTGGAAAGGTAGACCTTGACTGTCCTCCCTAGGACTGTTATGGGTTAGAACCCCTCTGCCTCTTGTTGTCCCCCTGATTATCCTGACTCCTCCTAGAGTCCCTCATTCTCTTCTCCTCCATCTACATAATGGTCTCAAGATGGGTCGCTGCCTCCACAAGGGGCCCATAATCTCTAATCATGGACCCACTCAGAACATGAGTCTGGTCCTCAACCTCTTCTCAAACTCCAAGCAACGGGGCTCCTCAGTCGCCATAAGCTCAGGGGCAAACCTAGACAAACTAGTGAAGGTGGCCTCAAACTCGGACATTGGTGTGTTCAACTTCACCAATTTGGAAAACTGGTCTCTCAACTTCTCTCTACTAATGGGAGGCAAAAACGTTTCCTTGAAGGCGTCAACGAAAGCCTCCTAAGTTCCTCAAATGCACCCTCGCGCATACTTCCACCATTGACCACATCTCCTTTCAGTTGGAAGGATGCCAAGGTCACTCTCAAAACTCCATCTTCGATGCCGAGCATCTCAAACGTCTGCACCATTTGCTCTAGTCACTCATCTACCTTCAGTAGCTCCTTGGGATCACCGAAAAACTCATCCGGATTTGACCGGAAAAACTCCTGCTTCAGAAAAGATGGCCCTGCCTCAGCTACTTGGGCTTGGACTTGATTCTCAGCTATGAGAATGTCCATTGATTTCGGTAACGCTCTAGCTATTTCGCGGGCTAAGGCGCACATGGCCTGCTGACCCACTGGTTCAGCCACATTGGCTTGACTAACCCCTTCTTCCTGTGCTGGAATAGGCACCTCTTGCCGCCTAGGCCTACCACGCCTACCACCACGACCACGTCCGGACATCCTAAGAAAGGTAACAAAAGAGATTAGTATATTTACAAATGTACCGAAGCTAACTTACTTGCATCCTAATACGATGGACAATAGTAATTCAGTTCACATAAGCACGTATTCACATAAACACATACAAATTTCATTCCCGGATAATGATCGTCCCACAGCAATGCTAGAGTTCTAGTTAGAAACAGCAGAGATCAAGTGCCTTCCTAACAGGACTCCTAGAAACCCGTGGACCTGATCAACATCCTACAAATTAAATCCCATACCCATGTAATCACATAACATTATAAGCACACAAACATCTTTGTCAAGCGAGATAAACCTATTGTGGTACTAACCACTTCCCACGTACCCAAAGTATTCAAACTCAGTACACTCTGATACCAAGTTGTAACACCTCGAAATAAATACAATAATCCAACCATAAGATATAACATCAGACAACAATAATAATAAGATTATCTTCAATTAATCTGATAAGGTATACAAAAGAGAAACATATGCGTCATACATTCATAAAGCCTAACCCTGAATCTATAGCATATGTTCCAGTTAAAAGAGAGAAAAGAAGATAAACATATAAAAATGCCTTGAGGGCTTACACATTTCCAAGACCTTGCTTGGTTATATCAAAAGAGAGTCTAACTCTATATAGTTTAAGCCCTGGGCTACTCAAAACAAAAACACAACAAAAGAGAAGCTTGTGCACCAAACTCCCTCGGAGTCACTATTTTGGCGGAGGCATATCACTGGCACCTGAAAATGGTTATCGCAAATAGGTTGAGCCAAAGCCCAGCAGGAACAATCTAACACAGTATATAGTCCTTAACAAAGATATAACTACAATGTGCATTTACGAGGCCAATGAGTAAACAGTTATATTTCATATGATCATATAGTACCAAAATTCACGACTCAATCCTTTATCCTTTTCGTTAATTTAAATTAAATCATTACATCTCAATTCTAGAGCCAATTTCAATCTCTTCCAAACAAACCATCTGAGACTATCACTCAATGGTTCCCAAACTAACACAATCATCACATTAACACTTCAATTTGCCATTCTACGGAAATTTCGTCCACGGGATTGGCACCAATGTATACGCGCGGCTTCGGGACTTTCACACAGACCAACTTAATTTCAATGGAGTCCATCCCCTATCTCCTCCCAGACAATGGAGTACATCCCCTTTCTCCTCCCAATCAATCATATATATACAATGTATTTATAACAAAGTCATATTCAATGACAACCAACAAGAGATTAGTTTCAATTTACCTAATTCTTATCTGAAACCCCTCATTTGATTCTATATCTCAAGCCCTAGGTTTCGTCACAAAACTCCAAAATTTCTACCATTTTTACATGACAACCCATAACTAAGTTAAAAGCAATATACGAGTGTAGAAAACCCCTACCTCGAAATTAGGAGATCAAAGGAGCAAAGGAGAAATTTCAAAGGCATCGAAACCAAGCTCCATTTGGATCAAAATGAAGATCTTGAAGTGCTCTACTTTTTTCCCAAAGGAACTAGGGTGGAGAACTCAATGGATCCAAGTGAAAATGTAGAGAGAAGATGCGTTTTAGAGAGAGAAGGTCACACTTTAGGGTTTTGAAGGAATTAGATCTTAAAAAGTGATGTAAAAAGACATTTTTACGATCTGATATATGCACAGTCCGCTCGAGCGCAAAAAGTGACGCTCGAGCGTCAGACACAATAAGTTATTCCGCTCGAACGCAAGATGTAACGCTCGAGCGCCAAGACACAATCGAAAGGGCATTACCACTCGAGCACAATAAAGGCTGCTCGAGCATAAAATACACACATCTAGTAGTTTTACAAACAACAGGTCACCGCTTGAGCGCAAGAAAGGCCGCTCGAGCTCCCACTCGCTCGAGCATAAGAAATGCCGCTCGAGCATAGAATACATTCTCCCAGCATTTTTGCGGACCTGTAAAAGTACTAAAAGTTTGCAAATCATGCTTGAGCCCAAGAAGTGCTGCTCGAGTGGAGGACCAAAAATCTAGGCAACAAATGGTTTGAAAACCACAATAATCCCAAAGCCAAACTTAATGGAGAACGAAGGAAATAACATATAAACAACAGTATGAAATCATTAAACCCCAAGTTCGGGATACAACAAGGGTCAGGTGAAGACCGGGATTGCAATAGCAATCCTTTTCCTTCCGCTCCATCCGAGCCCCATTCCTGGAAATATGTCGCAACTTGTTCATGAAGTAAATAGACTGAGCACTGACATACATGACTTCGTCGTCGGCTAAGATGGCATGTACCACTTGGGCTTTTGCCAGAGTGAATCCCAAAAGAAATATGTCCTCATCACCGTGATTGATCCCCAACAAAGGTGTAGTTACCTCTAGCAGTGTATGAATAGATGAATTCCCAAAAACGATTGCCACTCCTCCCTCATGAGGGTATTTTAGCATTTGATGGAGGGTGAAGCATATAGCCTTCATGTAATGTAACCAGGGCCTCCCTAGAAGTAGGTTAAAGGTAGTTGACACATCAAGTACATGAAACTCAATCTCATGCTCAGAAGGGCCCACTTGGACTTGTACTTTCACTGTCACCATAACTTCTCTACTGGTGTTGTCATATACCCAAATCACCTGGGCTGTGGGGACGAAATCTGTCTATTTCAGGCCTATCGCATAGGTGGTGCGAGAAGGACAGAGGTTGATAGCAGAGCCGGTGTCCACTAGGACCACTGGAACCCACTTCTCTTTGTAGTCAACAGATATGTACAATGGCTTGTTATGGGTCGATCCTTCCAGCGGCAGCTCTTTATCGGAGAAGGTGATCATAGGCTTGGTGCTACTTGGGAAGATAAAGCCAACAAGTTGCTCTGGCGTAGTATCAATGGACAATTTAGCCTCATCCATCGCCGACAATAATGTTTGTCTGTACTCGCGAAGCCTCAAGAGGCCCCAAATAGAAATGTCAGCCTGAATCTTTTTGAGTTGTTTCAGGACCAGCTCCTCCTCCAGCTTCTTCTCATTTTCCTCCTCAACCTCTTGGTCTTTTCCTGAGGGTTCGGCTTGATCCAAATGTGGAGGTTTGAAATACCATCCACTCCTAGTGAGATGGTTTGTTTCTTCCAAATATCACGTACTGTCTGGGATGTTATCTTCCCAGTCTTCATCGGTATAGGTTTTTCACCACTTACCTTAAGCTGTTGACAAACAGTTGTCCGGCTTAACCTGGATCACTCTTACGGCACAAGTATCCTTCTTAGGGCAACCAACTGTTGCTGTCTTCCGGCTATCCACAATTCTCTATCTTTCAAATTGCCCCAGTACAACTTTTGGTTCAGCGCCCGTAGTTTCTACAACTCCCAATTCTTGGGTTTATTTTTTTGTACTCCTGCCCTCTGGCACTTTTCCTTTCTCTTCAGCCCTTTCAGCTACCACACCTACTCCGACTTGTTTTCCTTCTGATTTAACTTCGGTTATTTCTTCCTTGTAAGATTCATCACTTACCTAACCCCTGTTGTCAATCGACAAACATAGATCAAACCAACCAATCTGCACATCGCCTTGGTCCTACTCGTCGAAGAATTGTAAGTTGTCCAAATGTTCTTCAATGTTCGCAAGGTCATCCAACCTTTGGCTTGGGCCGTCTTCTCTAACCACATTAAAGTCCACTAAGGTCGATAGTACTACCTCAGTCCTGGTTTGAGTAACCTGAACAATGTAGTGGCTCAAGTCATACTCCCCCTTAGAGAAGTCTACATGAATTTCCAATGACAGACTGGAACCTCACTCCAAGGTCAAAACTTCCTCTTCTTCAGGTGTTGTCCCCACAGATTTGTGAGGCTTGGTTTGTGGGTTGGATGTATTCATGATGCAGAAGTCTTATGCTTTCAGGGATGAATAACATTGGCTTTGGTAGATGGGAGGGGGTGATATAGACGTTGGGGTCATAGGTGGGTGGTAGTGTATAGATGAGGTGTATATTTCTGGGTGGGGGGACATGGTTATGGACAAGGAGTGGGTTGGTGGTCACATTTGGTTTTTGGGGTGGAGCTATTACTTTGTTGTCAATGAGGTCTTGAATCTCATGATGTAGGCAGAAGCACCGGTCCATTTGATGGCCGTGCTGTTGATGGAAAACACAGTATTTGGTGGGATCATGCTTTGATGGAAGAGAGTCCGGAAGTGGTCAAGGTTCTAGGGGTTTCAGATGCCCCTTTTTGATCAGCACCTACATGGCTCGAGACAGAGTCATGTAGAGAAGGTTGAAAGTTCTACCCGAAGGTCATGTAAGGTTGGAAGTTTGAGGGGTCACGTTGGCAAAGGGGTCGGCGGTTTTGGTTTTGGTGAAAACACTCACCTCTGGCGGTCTTGCAGTTGTGCTACCCCATGGAAGCATTGGAATTGTGCACAAAAGGCCTCTTGATCGGCTCCTAGTCATCAATGATGACCCCCTGCTTCATTGCATCTTCAATCTGAACCCCTATTTCATGAAGTTCCTTGAAGGAGAATAAGGGGAGAACAATCATTTTCTACAGCAGCTTGCCATGAAGGTTCCGGACAACTATTCTGATTTTGTCCTTCTTTGAGGGTCGGGTGGTCATCATCGATGCCTTAGGCCTCCACCAAGTCACGAACTCTGAAAACCCTCGTTTGGCTCCTAGTACATTATTTTAAGATCACGAGTTGCGACCTCGATCTGCGTGTTACAGGAGTATTGAGCAATGAAAGACTCGGCCAATTCCTCCCAACTCTATTTCCACTACAACAAAACTGACTTTTTATGGCACCACATCAATGGCATACAATAAATACATGTTGTAGTTTCTCACTTTTACGACTTGCTTTTTTTTTGCACGTCGTAAATATTTTTCGAACCAAGGCATGTCTATTGCGTAAGCCGTGAATGGTAATAACGATGATTTTTTTACGGCTTGCAGTGCACGCCGTAAATAATAAAAATTTCTACGATGTGCATATAGTATGCCGTTAATACATCAATTAAACATGATGCACATACATCGTTAATCTAAGTCGTTAATAATAAGGTAAAAAAAATAAGCCAACGCCCGCCGTTAAAGTATTGTACTTTTTAGGACGCAGACATCGCCCACCGTTAAAAGTATTGTCTTTCTATGACGCACAATGCATATTGTGAATTGTCAAGAAAAAAAAAATGTGCCAAAATGAAATTTAAAACCATCTCACTTTTAATCTAATGTGATAAAAAAAATGTGTGAAGTACCTCCTTTTTTTTTTTTTTTTTTTTTTTTTTTAATCTCAGCCGCCCACACCCCCCACAAACAAACAAATCATTTTGTATTTTATTTTTGAGATTCCAAACGCATCTCTCACACCCCTTTCTCTCTCTCTCTCTCTCTCTCTCTCTCTCACAGCCTTAACCCTAGTCCTCAGCTACAGCGATCAGCGAGCGGCAGCAGTGGCAGTGGTAGTAATCGGCAAGCGACAGCGGCAACTGAGGTATATTCTTCTCTTCTTTTTTCTTCTTCCCTTATCTTCTTCTATTCTTCTACTATTTTCCTAATTCGATTTCTGTTGAAATCAGTCCTTGATTTTTCTTGAAATCAACCCTTGATTTTCGATTTTGTTGAAATCAGTCCTTGATTTTTGCTTTCTGTCTCTCTCTCTCTCTCTCCCCTCTCCCAATTTCAAACCCTAACTATGATTTTAAATCTCTCGGATCTCCGCCCCTCCTTTTTTCAACCTCTCAAGTCTCACCACCATTTCGTTTTTAGTCAAGCATTTCAATTTTTGAGTTACGTCCATGTTTTACTTGCAACTATAGATCTTCTTGTTAGACTAAAATGCTACTTTAGTTGGAAAAAATGATATTTTTTTTGGTTTTCTTGGGGTAATTCTTGTGGATGTGTGTTGCTTGTTGGGACTGAGTTGGGTTTTGGTGTTTATATATATAAATATATATTAAAAAGGATTGTTATTTTCATATATCAGTTCTTGTTCCTATCTCTCTAAATCTACTTGTATATAGAAGAATAATTTGTCAATTTTCTCTGCTTTGGTTAGTGTTTTAAATTGAATCGCTGTACCATGTTGTTGGATAATCTATGAGAAGCAAATTTAATTAAATCGGTTCCACAAATACAAAGAATAAATTAGAGTATCAAAATTCTTTTTGGAAGATTTATAATCAATTTGGTTCACTGTAAGGGGATTAATTTGGTTCACTGTAATGGTTCTCTATTTTGGTGTAATGAGAAGAAATGTGGTATGGAAATACTATGGTTGGTTAGTTTTGTTGCATTTTCTTTTATAAATTTCTTATTGACTCCAATCTTAACTAAATTAACTAAATGTATTCACTCTTTGCTTAATATGCAAGAAAAGCTTCGACAGACTCGTGAATTATATGTCACATTTACTGCAATGTTGGAGATAAAAGACTTGATGCTAAAGAAGACTTTCCATAAAAATTAAATGTGTAATATACACAAATGATGAATCTGCCTTTCCATAAAAAATGAGGAGATAAAGGTACCTAACTACTAACTCCCTCAGAACCTATTGTAAGTAGAAAATTTCTTCAAAATTAACACCCCATTATCATGTATGAACTAAATGGAGGGAAGGAAAACATAATTCTCTAAGGGTGTGGGTGTACAATCATTGAAGTTAATTATCTTATGGCCCCTTACAAGTAGATGACTGATGTATTCTATCTTCTTCTCCTTCTTTTTTTTCTTTTCTATTTTTAATTTTAACATCCTGTAAATTATTCACAAATTCAATTGCATTTATCAGTACTGACCTTTACTCGATTTGCAGGAAGGTATCCAACAACTTGTGTTAGGCCTATACATCATTAGGGGTGACGACATGTATAGGGTGTTTTATAATTCCACTATGTTAGATGTTAATCTGTACATTTATTTTCTTTTTTGCATAACTAAATTTCAGTGTTCTTACCTTTCTTTGTTTGCAGAAGCATTGTGGGGGAACTAGATGAAGAGTTGGATGCCAGCCTAGATTTGTCCAAACTGAGAGCTCATCCACTAAATCCTATTATCCATTGACGAGCAACATGGTATGAGTATGTTTTTATTGAGTGTTGTAAGGGTGAATTTGCTTGAACTGGATTTGAATGAGTAAAATGATTGGTTTTAAGATACTAAGAAATTGTAATATGTATTGCACTGGTTAGTGGTTACAAATATTGGACAATGAGTCTATATAATTATTTGAATTATTATAATTTAACTTGTGAAATTGTTAGAATTTGTTTGTTTTGTTTTTAGTATTGGATGGATAAAATAAAGTTGAAAGAGTTTATCGTCTAAGCTTAATGATAACTGAATTTTGGCATTGAATGCTTGTTTTAATTTTTTGTAGAAGTATTTTTGTATTAATTTTTTTCCATTGAATGCTTGGACCCGATATCCGTGTTGTTTGTCAACTCCTTAGGAAATTGATGAGTATGGACTTGTTGATCCTATTTATATATTGACTTGACTCCTTTGGAGAAGACACGATTTTGGGATGGAGTGGTCAGTCCTCTCAATCTTTTGCCATGTTATTCACTGACATTAAACTTTTTATTTGCTGTATTTCTAGTTTGTAATTGTACTACTGATTAATGTGAGGAAAAGCAAATTTATTAGTGTTTTTTGGAATTATTTTGCCACTTTCTGGCTTGAATCTATGAAATTGTTTCAACTTGTGATTTGAATAATCTATTCACGGGGCTAAATCTACAAAGCATGTAGGTGATTTGATCGGAACCGAATTGGTCCTCAAAATTGTTCTGAACTAGAGTAAGTTGATGGCGTCAACTTTGTACTCTAGTCCTGTATGAATTCTTATCTCTGTCACATATATGTCATTCAATTATTTTACTTCTCGCATTTGATTTGTTATTTTTTTATTTGATATTTGGTGATTCAACATATATAGAACTGTATATTTTGATCAAAGCCTTCAATTCTATTTGACTATGATTCTATTTTTGAGATACAAAAGTTTCTTTTGGTTTTAACTGAATTAAACTTTGTTTGTAAGTTTCCTAATTTGGCAATTATCAATTAAACACTCTCCTCTTTGTTTCACTTATTGCTGCTTGTAGGCACTTTCTGTTGAGATTTAAGCTTTTATGCTATGTTTGGTGAACTAGAATGGAATACTTATTCAATCATAATGTTGATTTAAGCATTAGACACTCTTTACTCTTTCTCTGTTTGTGTAAAATCTAGAGATTGCAACCTGGTCTATTTGATTAGATGACTAAATTTGATGTTGTTAAGACCAACAGGTTTGTACTATTAGCATAGTTGACATTTCAATAACTCTTCTTTAGTTCTAGTTCTATTTTAGAGTTGAAGAAGTTGAAAAGATAATTAGCCTATCAGATGATGGTAGCAGAGGGGCACTTATATATGTGTTATTATTGTAATTTTTAACTAAATATTTGTTGTTTTGCTGATGAAAACAAAAATGATTCTAGGTTAATAATTATTCATAAGTTACTAAGTGCTTTTAGATAGAGTTGAGCACAAACCTTATCATAGTCATATGTAGGAAATTAATACAAAAACATTTTTATTATATAGACTTTGAGAACAAGTTTAGAGACTAACATATCACACATTTTCCAATTACAATATAAGTAATGATATATAAATAGATATTTTACATAAAATTTTTATATGTGAAAATTAAGCGAAGTACTTTAAAATTTTAATTAAATAGAGGCTTGAAGTTTTAAAGTGAACTATAACTGGACAACTCAACCCTTGGCCCCCTCTCTGTTGGATTTTCCCTTAATCCACCTCTTGATCTTTACATTGTGTACACACCCCATTTTTGACAGTCCTCAAGACTTGGACGTCATCGTTTGAACACTCGATGATCATCCATGTTCGTGTTCATTTTGAGATCCTGAAGGACTCGGTTACGCGCCTTGCCTTAGGATCTCTCGACTTACTGTTTTGTGCTTGGTTGTGGACCAAGGACTTGTGGTTTTTGCACCTGAGGGTAGGAAGTGGCTTGTTAGCCATCCCTTAAACCCACCAGCCGTGGCATGAAGCCACTGGCCTTGCTTTCCTTCTACCGACCAAAGGTTAGGTCGGTCGGCACTGATATCTGGTCGGTCGGCCATTTATTTGGTCGATTGTCTCTTTTTCTGGCCGGTACCTCCTTTTTGCCTTTTTCAGGCATTGTGCATGCTAGCTGTGCCAGCTGGAGTGCACTGACTTGTCCTCCATACACGTGTATGGAGGATTTGCACCCTTTGCACCCTTTTGCTCTAAGCTTCTTGGAGAAGCTTAGACCCTTTGTCTTAGCTTCCTGCAGAAGACTTGCACTCTTTGTCTTAGCTTCCCCAAGAAGCTTGGACCTTTGGTCTAGCTTCTTGAGGAAGCTTGGCCCCTTGCCTTAGCTTCTCTAAGAAGCCTTGGTCCCTTGTATGTTCTATAAAAGGAGGCCTCTCCTTTAGAGAGGTTCAACAAAATCAGACATACATATCTGATATATCACTCTCTCTCTCTATATATCTTCCTCTCTCTCTACATTTGTGTGTGTTGGAGTGCCTTAAAGTGTGTTTTCTTCTTAGTTTTGCACTAAAACACCTAGTGTTACACCATACCTTGGTCATTAAGGTGTTGAGAGGTTTTTTCTTGGAGCTTTTGAGTTGGTTTTGATAAGAAAAAGGGGCTGGAGTTTTGGTTCTTGAAGTGTTCTTCAAGGGTGAGCACTATTGCTTTATATTCTCCATTCTTGCACTAGCTTTTAACCTACTTTGCATGTTGTTTTGAGCTTTGTGTATAATTGATAAAAGTTCTGATTTTTTATGTTTAAGATGTTTCATTAAGGTCATTTTTGTGTTTGGGGTCGACCTCCCCCTTTTAGGCCTTGTTTGGCCCTTTTGTGCCTTCTTTGTTTGAGCTTTGAGGACTTTTGTGTATTGGTCTTCTCACCACTGAAATCCAAAGGATTTTCAGTGGTGGTGAAGGGGTTTTGAGGTCTTGTATAGGGGAGGGACACCCTTCTCTCTTTGTGTCTCATTTGCTTGTGTTTTGGCTCATAAAGGTAGCATGCATGCTTAGTCGGTTTTAGCTCCATTTCAGAGGCTTTTGGGTGTTATTTGGTCATATTATACCTCTGTTTTGAGTTGGTTTAATGGTCTCTTGCATGCATCATATGCTTGTCTTGTAATCCCATGTTTTGGCCTAACATGCATCATGTTATGAGATGACATTTTAGCATGATTTTGGTTTGGTTCCAAGAAGATTTTAGCTTTGTTTTGCCATGTTTGAGGTCTGGTTTTGGTTGTTTTGATCATGTTTGCCATGATTTGTATAGTCATCATACATTCTAGCTTACTAGCTTTGAGAATGTGAGTCACTAGCATGCTTTACTTAGCTTATTCTCATGATTTGGCATCATTGGAGACCATATTTCAGTTCATGTTTCATGCTTGTGCACTTGCATTTGGCTCTCTTTCAATGCTTGGAAGTGTTGTAGTTTTATGCCCCAAGAGTTGGTCATTGTGTATGCCACCATGTTTAGACATTTGGGATGCCATTTATGTGGGTTTTGGGGCTTATTCTAACATACCATAGTTCTGATTTTGTTGGTCTAATGTCTATGTTTGTCATCTTTTAGGCGTTCTTGAAAGTTGCCTTTCATGCCTTAGTCTTAGGCCTTTTGGTTTGCATGTTTGTTTTGCATGTTGGCACCATCATTTTAGTACTCTTGGCCACTGTTATGAACAAGGCTGAGGTCTGTCCACCCATAGTGTAAGACCATGGATCATGCATTTGTATATTGTTGCATGCTCATTACATTGCGTGATTGTTGCATCCATGTAGTTAATGCATTGTTGCATGCCTACCACTTCGCATAGTTGCCTATTTAGGTTGCATTGTAGTGTTGCATACTTATCATATTGCCATGATTGTTTGCATGATAGGTTGTATTGCACGGTATTTGGCATACTCATGTTTCATTACATTAGTTACATATGTTGCATTACTCATGTTGCATTGCATCAATTACATGTTTTGCATTGCATTTGCCATACATGCATTACATTTTGTTGGGTTTGGGGTGTCAAACCAAACATGGGGAATGAGGTGTGTTCGTACTCAAAGTGACGAAATACATCTCAATCCTCGGTCGCCGACGCCCTTGATCTCAACATGATAGGGCGTGAAGCATTCACTCGTTTGTTGCATTCATTTACATTGATTTGCAAGCTTGGTGCCTTTGGCCATCATGCATCGGAATGCATGGTTGGTGGCTCAAGGGCCGAGGGCCACACTCCCTTGAGTCTATAGAATGATAGGGAAAGTGGCCATGCACACATTGCTTTGAAATTTCCTTGCCATGCACTGTCTATCCTCTGTTGCTGTCAAAACAGGATTTTGCAGGAATATTTGGCCGACCAACTACATACAGTGCCGACCGACCAAAAATATATGGCCGATGGCTTCACAACCGGTCGATGATAATTTTCCCATGGTCGGTGGACCTACGTTTGGGCCGGTGACATCCCACCACACTTAGGGAGTGATTCAGAAGGGTTCTGGAAAGTTTCATAACTTTTAGAGGAACAAGGCAATGTAAACAGAGGCAACGGTGGCATGGCAACGGGTTTCCAGGTGAGGCGAATCGAGCATGCGTCATTCACGCATTCCAAGACAGAGCTACGGCGGTCTCTTTAGTTTCATATTTAGACCATTTTTTTTGTAATTAATTTGTTAGTTAATTAACTGTTTTGTAATAATTAATTAGCTAGTTAATCAGTTAATCTGTATTATTTATTCGGACCCTCCGAGCGAGGGCAATTGTGTAATAAGTGTGCGTGAGTGTGTGTATGTCTTCTAACCCCATGTCTTTCTCCCTTTTATTTAACCGCTTACAATGGTTAGTTTTACGGCATGTTTCAATTAGCATACTTATGATAGCATGTTTGCATTCATTCATCTGTCTTGCATGCACCGGGCTCGACACACCATACTAATTGCATTGTATTTCAATTCCGAGTTGAATACTTGTTAGTTGTAGCATTTCACATGCCATCTTTAGAATAGCTGAGCCTATTGTAGTTGCATCCTGCATGTGTTGCATTAGGTATTTCAGCATAGTTAGGATTCATGCATGTTTTCTAATTAACTTCTTTTTTTGGCTCGGAGTACTCGGTAAGTCTTTATGCTTTAGCATCTCGCATGTGTGTGAGTGTTAACATGACAGCATGCTTACCATGAGGCTAATTGCTTATGTGATATAAACTCTCTGAATGCCTGTGGGTGAAGGTTGGATTATTTGAGTTGGAACAATTCATCGATTGCAAGTTTTAAGGCCACTGGTGAGTGGCAAATCACCATGCTTTCTAAACCCACTTGAGGGCGGCAAAATCTGCATTTTAGCCTACTTACGAGTAGCAAACCACTTTTAAAAAC